ATATTTTCATTTGTTACAGAGGCATCAATGAAAAGTCCAAATAGATCAACAAAAGTAACAAATCAGGATATTATTGACTCTATCAAGAATTGGCTACGACATGCGTCTGCCAGACTGAATAACAGCCAGTAAGTGAACTATATTTTGAACCATTAAAATTTTTCACAGGACAATAATATAGTTTATTTAAATAACTACCAGGGATCAAGTCATTATGTATTTTTAGTTATTCTATACAGGGTGCCCTTAGTTAAACTGGCATATTTCGCAAGTGAACATTATTTTTTTTGTATCTATGTATACCTGCAAAATGTGTCAGTTTATCTCAGAAAACCCTGTATTATAATATAAGTTACATACTCATCTGCGCAAAATGCTTTATTTACACCTGTTTTTTTGGGTTATAGCTATTGATTTAAAAATTATATGGATAAATTTGTTAAGAAAATCTATATCAGTGATGCATCCCTGAGCAGTTTCTTCAAAGTTTTATCTATGTCCTATAACCTATCAAATCTGGTGATGTGAAAGAAATATCTAAAAAAATTTTTTTTCAGGAAGAAAAATCGAGATGAAACTGGTTGAATACTTAATTTGATACGCTATTTTATATTAACATGCATATTGTACTGTATAATAATATACATTAGGTACTTAATCATACCTAACAATAAAACATAATGTTTATTCATAAAATTGCAATTTATTATCCTAATTATTTTTCAGAAAAGCAAATAAATGAACCATGGATTTCATTTATAAAGGACACCCTGAAGGTCCTTACGGAAACGCTGATCCGGTCAAATCGATCACCAGCTGATGTGATTTCTGTTTTTTTGAGAAAACAAAAAGCTGGTGATCGGATTAATTGAATCAGTGTTTCCGTAAAAGGCCCCATTTTGGATATCCATAATAAAATAATAATGGATTTCCAGTGGATATGGATAGGTTATCTACAGGTTGTCTATGAACCTTTACTAAAGATATCCATAAGTATATCCATAGGATATCTTCTATATCCTGGATATGGACGGACATTTGGATATCTATATCGAATCCACTAGATATCTATGGATATCCAGGGGATATGGTGGATATCCATAAAAGATATCCTATGGGTATCTCTGGGATTTGGCGTGTTGTCTGGGTAATTACCACCAAATACTAAAAGTGGGATACCAAAGACCACCAAACGACCACCAAACGATTGAGTAAGGCGAATATTGAAAAATTAACATTTGGTCGGCCATACACATGTTGCCACTCATAACTGCGAAATTCGCATTTTTTTGACATTGCGTTGACAATTTGACGTTTTATGCGTGTATCAAACGTCAAATTGTCGAAGCAATGTCAAAAAAATGCGAATTTCGCAGTTATGAGTACTAGGCTTAACTCAAATGGGTCACTGGAAAGCACCTCTGGCTTCCGTAGTTTGGTGAGTAAACTGATAGCGTTTTCTGTTGGTAAAACTCGTGCTGCCCGAGTTCTGCACTCAACACTGTATCAGTTCACGTTTAGTGCAATCCCAAAAGAACATGAATTTGGCGGGTTTTGTCATTCTTTTCAAATTTATTATTCAACGATCCCTGACCCCTAACCTAACCCAAAAATAAATAACAGATATTTCTTGGGATAAAAATTGAAAACGTTTGTGTGTATGAAAAACTTGAAAACAGTTTTTCCTGTGTGTAAAGTACATTATTATGCTGTCTCCCAAGATGTGCAGCAATAATTCCATTGATACCTTCGTTGAAATTAATTTTTATGTCAATTTCAATAAAATTTTGAATTTTTGGTATTTATCTCATTATACCTGGCCAACGTATGTAATAATTTTTCCTCTTCATCGCTGTCGCTCGACGAAGATAAAAAATATAGAATTTTATCAATATCGATATCCATAACCCTGCAGTGGTGGCGCCTCTTTTTTAGCATAAGTAGTGGCGCCAAGTCTGAGAGACCCATATTTTTGAAAAATCATGGAATATTGGAAATAGATGAAATATTGAAACAGACCACTATTTTTCATTTTAGAGAGTGTTTGCTTCTATTCTATTGTCAAATGTGGAAATAATTTTTGTTTAGGAGTGTCAAAAATTGACAGAATCACAAAAGGGGACATAAACAGTAAACATTAAAACAACATAAAACAGGAAATTAAAATATATCAGTAAAGACTTGAAAGAGACTCCTAAACTACTTTTTTTTTCTTAACTATATTCTAAAAAACATATTCCGTATAAAATTAGGGTATTAGCCTACAAATGAGATACATAAAAACAGCATGTGATAAACAAATAAAGTTTTCGATTTTGACCATGTTTTTTTTTCAGACAGAACCATCCTTTCCAATGAAAGTAGGAAGTCGAGGAATTTATGCACTTGATTCTGCTTCTAGTTTATCTTCACCATTTTGCTCTCACGATTTTTCCTCAATATTGTCTTCCTCTGCTTCAGACTCCTCATCATCGAAATTTCCCTCGGTATCAGTCTCTACTTCCTCCAATAACATAAGCACTCGAGGTTAATCTTTTTCATAACTCATTATTGTACAAATTCATAAGAAATACAATAATTGTACATATAAACTGAACTTACAATAGACTTACCGGAGGTGGAAATATTCTGAAACACCACCATCGACAAATCGGCAGCAGTGGCGCCAAGTCCACCAGACCCGAAACTATTACCAAGCCGCTCAAGAAAATATTTAGCACATAACACTTATGACGTTCGCTAGTAAACTACATTATAGGAAGGTACTGGAACGGCGAAGACCGCAAATTAATCCTCACACTTTTTATAAACAGTGTGGATAATGTTACGGAACTTCCGGTCGATTTTTTTTTTTTTATTAACCCGGAATTTCCGAATTATTATTTTATTATTATTCGTCCGGAAAATAATACACCATGTACCCCTTCAATGACACAATCATTACTCCCCATACCCCAGGCCCCATTGCGCTGGCGCCGCGCCGCCAATTTCGAATTTGAATTTTCTATTGTGTGTCGGATTCCCCCATTTTTTTTCTGATCAAAATCGAAATTTCCTTTTTTATTTTTTTTCGGCCTTAAGATGTACCGCAGCGAGGAGGGTCAGATTTACTTTTTGATGTATTTTTTGCTCCTCTATCCGATAGAATTTTTTTTTTTTGAATTCGATATTTGAATTTTTTCGACAAAAAAATTCAAAGGTAAGCCTTCGATTTTTTTTTTTAAATTTTGAAACCGTCCTAACTCAAAAACGAAAAGCTTGGGAGAAAAACTTCAAATATAAAACTTATAGATCTCGTCGAGTACTACAAAAAATCCTATTAGAAGTATCCCTCCACGGGGATCCGTTTTCGAGAAAATCGACCTCGAAAATTTTAACAAAATTACAATAAATTTCAACTTTGACGGCCAATATCTCAAAGACAAAAACGGTCTAGAAACTCCATAAAATAATATTTTGTAGATAATTTAATCCTCTTTCAAATGAGATATGACTGGAAACGATCGGTTAAAAAATAGCGGAGTTATAGGCGAAAAAGTGGTCTCGTGTCGGATACCCACAATTTTTTTCTGATTAAAATCAAAATTTCCTTTTTTATTTTTTTTCGGCCTTAAGATGTACCGTAGCGAGGAGGGTCAAATTTACTTTTTGACGTATTTTTTGCTCCTCTATCCGATAGAATTTTTTATTTTTTTGAAATTCGATATTTGAATTTTTTCGACAATGCAAGGACTAGTACGCATTACGTGGACGGGTTAGTTTGCATATTTTTGATTAGTTTCGTTGCAGTTCATTTAATACAGGTTATAAGTGTACTGGACTACTAGTTAATAACAAAGCGCGCTGGTTTTTTCTAAATTCAATACATGCAAGGACTAATACGCATTACGTGGACGGGTTAGTTTGGGCTAGTTTGCATATTTTTGGCTAGTTTCATTACAGTTCATTTAATACTGGATATAAGTGTACTGGACTACTGGTTAATAACAAATTTCTAAATTCGATACATGCAAGGACTGGTACGCATTACGTGGACGGGTTAGTTTGGGCTAGTTTGCATATTTTTGGTTAGTTTCGTTGCAGTTCATTTAATACTGGTTATAAGTGTACTGAACTACTAGTTAATAACAAAGCGCGCAAATCGCGCTGTTTTTCTTTCTAAATCCAATACATGCAAGGACTAATACGCATTACGTGGACGGGTTAGTTTGGGTTAGTTTGCATATTTTTGGTTAGTTTCATTACAGTTCATTTAATATTAATTCTGGATTTAAGTGTACTGGACTACTGGTAAATTGGTACACAAGTAAAAAAACAATCCGGACGAATAATGATATAATAATAATCCGGAAATTCCGGGCTAATAAAAAAAAATATATTCAACCGGAAGATCCGGGTGATTAGGGACACCCTTTTATAAATTGGATTATGAAGCTCGGGCCCGAGAGACTGGGCGCCACCACTGCAGGGATAATTGGTTTTGTTTATACACAGACTTTTCGGCACTTCGCGCCATTTTTGTTGTGCTCTGATATTGGCACGAGCTCTTTGACCTCGTGCTGGAAAAGTTGCACGAGGGCAATAATTGATTGCCCTGGTTTTCCAATAGAACATAAAAACCCGCTCGGGAACTGCCAACAGAACATAATTTTTGCATGAGTGCAGCACGAGTTTTACCAACAGAAAACGCTATGATAAACTCTATGCCTAGTACTCATAACTGCGAAATTCGCATTTTTTTGACATTGCGTTGACAATTGGACATTTGATACACGCATAAAACGTCAAATTCTCAACGCAATGTAAAAAAAATGCGAATTTCGCAGTTATGAGTACTAGGCTTAAGGGAGGATTTTCATGCATCCGTTTTTCCGTCGAAATATGTCTGTTTAACATTCTATTTTGACATATTTATATACGATTATGTCAGAATAGAATGTTAAACGGACATATTTCGTCGGAAAAACGGATGCATGAAAATCCTCCCTAAACCGGTATCCCACCGGTTCAGAAACCGGTGAATTTTGGAAAGTGCCCAACCGCGTTCCGTATAGACCGGTTTTTCAGTCTTTCAAGCACCAGCAAACATTACGGAACGTGTAGCCGTAACCAAGGTTGGAAACGGAACCCAGCCGAAAAATAAACAAACAACAACATCCTGAAATTATTGTAAACATCTCATTATCATTAATCATTTAATTTATTTCATTTCTATTTTATAAAATTCCATTGTCATCGTCATCATGGGTATAATCCACTGCCAAATTAAAACGGTTCTCGTTTAAAATCTTTATTAGATATACGCATTAAGTTCATTATGCGCACATCTCAATTTTGTTGTCCAAATTTTAAATGTTCAACATTTTCAGCAGTATCAGTGAAAAATCTACATTAGAAAAGATGAGTGAAATTGAAAATCATCATAAAAGAAGCTGGTGGACTAAACACTCCGAGAATCGACTTGCCGAATTGGAAATTACCATTTTATCAGGTAAATTTTAACAATATGACGTCTATTTTAATGAATTTAAGAATAATATTTGGTCAGAACTATTTATAATTCTTGGCCCCTAACACCAAAATTGGATAAATTTTTGTTAGTTATAAATCTAGAAAAACAGCATCTTGATTTAGAATTCTAAATAATTAATAATAAATACCACGATAAATACTAATCTCTTGGATAATCTAGCTCAATGCTCAATATCTGTAAAATCTATGACTTGTTTATTATAGTACAAGAGCCAGTGAAAAAAATTCCGGCTGATTTTATTATGGCTGAAAAATTTAGGAAATGTAGAATCAATCATGAACAATACGAAATCGCGTGCCTGCCTTCGTTCTTCGTTTTGTGAAAGCAAAAACCGACTCATCGCGTTTTGCATGAAAATTTGTGTGAACATAGAACAAACACTCCCAAGTAATGAATGCCTGTCTACCTAAATCTGTTGCCAAATAGCGCCTGTCAAATAAAAATTGATTGAAAGTTTTTTTCAAAATTCGACTGATCGCGTTTCGAGTGAAAATTGAATATATCACAGTTAAAACCATTAGAAAAACATTTCTGACTGCCTGCCCGATCAAAGCCGTTGCTTTCTAATGCCTGCCTGGTCCCAAAGTTCACAAAGTACTTATAAAAATATGCCAGGAGGAATACTCAAATTCAGAAAATCAAAACACATGGACCGTGCCGACCCAGAGATGCACAAATAATAATGATTTCGTTGCAATGTTGCCAGACTTTTTGACATCAACTGAGTGACAAAAACCCTTCAAAATCCTTCAAAACAGTGGCGGTTGGCCGGCCACAAAATATTTTTCCTACAGCCGTGCGGAAAAATCGATTTTCCGCACTGATATGCGCGCGGAAAATGAGTTTTCCCGCACGGTGCGGTAAAACTTTTTTTTTTGACATATCAGTGCGGAAAAAGTTTTTCCGCACGGCTGTTAGTGCTTCGCGTCGTTCGTATAACTATGTTTGCGTGCGGAAAAGTAACACTTTGCGCACGTGTTAGGAACAAAATTTTTCCTACGAGCTTCATATCAGGTAGGTAATAACAAAATTTAAAAAAAAAACGATAATTTGTTTAATTATTTTTATTTACAATCATACATGTAATGTTGACTTTACTGACTTTTAAAAAGTTCGAAAATGTCACTTTTTTGACTTTTACTTTCGGCCCACGGGTCGAAAGTTTACTTTCGACCCGTGGGCCGAAAGTAAATGAAATTTTTAAAATTTATTGCATTTTTTGACTTTTACTTTCGGCCCACGGGTCGAAAGTAAACTTTCGACCCGTGGGCCGAAAGTAAATGAAATTGTCAATTATTGTATTTTTTAGTTTTAATTCAAATAAAAATTTCAAAATTCGAATGATTGTAAATAAAATAGTATACATACCTCGGTGAAAAGTTTCATTACTGTCTCGAGATTTTAGTTAGACCTCGGCTGTGCCTCGGTCTAACTAAAATTTCTCGACAGTAATGAAACACTTTCCACCTCGGTATGTAATATACTATTAATTAACTTGAATGGACCCTATGCAGTCATCAAAAAATTACATAACAAAAAAAAATAACAGAAAATCCTCGTCAGAGCTGTTCATCTTAAAGCGTTTAAATTTGATGAGAAAGTTTGTAGATTTTTGCATATAAATAGAGAACAAATCTGATGTTTCAAAGTTAATTTATAATTGGTGTTTGTATAGATGTTGGCTGATATGATTCAGGAAATGATTTCTGATGGCAAAACGTACACTGGACCTCAAAACATTGCTAACGGCTTCGCGGATTTTTTTAAATCAGTTTTTATTGATGATACTGACGTAACTTGCAGTAAATTTCCTGTAAAGTCGCACTTCTGCGACAATTTGATTAGCATGACTGAAATTCAAAAGGCTATCATAAAGATTAAGGGTAACAAAGCAATAGGTCCTGATGGAGTACCTGCTTATATCATAAAGGGCTGCAGTGAATATTTGGCGTTGCCTCTTGAATTTCTATTTAATTTTATTTTGAAAACGTCTGTGTACCCTGATAAATGGAAAACAAGCAAAGTTATACCTGTCTACAAGGCTGGTGCCAGGAAAGACATAAAAAATTATCGTCCTATCTCAATTGTATGTGCAATCTCTAAAGTTTTCGAGATAATTATTTTTGATCGATTGTATAGTGAAATTTCGGGCAAAATAACATCATGCCAACATAGTTTTTTTCCTAAAAAGTCAACTCACACCAACTTAATCACATTTTGTCAATATATTCATGATGCAATAAATGACAAGTCACAAGTTGACGTAATATTCACAGATATGGAGAAGGCGTTTGATAAGGTGAGGCACTGCGTAATTTTAAAAGCCCTAAACGATATGAATGTATCATCTTATCTATTTTATTTATTACAATCCTATCTTAGCTATAGATTTCAATATATAGAAATCAAAGGATCTAAATCTGTTGTGTACAAGAGCACATCAGGGATACCCCAGGGCTCTAATCTTGGCCCTCTTCTGTTTTTAGCAGCTATAAATGGTATCATGGGCAATCTTGAAGACGTCAAGGGCTTACTGTTTGCGGACGATTTCAAATGTTTTCACTTAATAAATTCCATCGAGGATTGTGAAACTCTTCAAAATAACTTTTGTAATGTATCTAATTGGGGTACTGCGAATAGCTTTAATCTAAATGTGAGTAAATGTAAGTGTATGTCATTTACCCTTAATAAAAACTCTTATCAGTATGATTACACTTACAATAATACTAAAATTGAAAGAGTTGACAAACAAAAAGATTTAGGTCTGATCTTTGATGTGAATCTCACTTTCACTGATCACATTCTTGCAAAAATTGAAAGTGCTCAGAGGGTAGCAGGATTTATTACAAGAAACACTAGAGACTTTGGCATAGACATAAGTTTACATCTTTTTGACAGCTTAGTTTTGCCTATATTGGAATATGGTTCTGTAATTTGGTCCCCTCAATATGATGTGTGGATTACGATTATTGAGGGGGTGCAAAGGAAATTTCTAAAGTCTCTTTATTTTAGAAAATATGGATTCTACCCACAAAGAGGTTGTAGTAATGAATATTTGTTGGGTGTCTTTGGAAGAGTGTCATTGGAGAAAAGGAGATTTAAAATAATTCTTTGCACAATGTTTGGGTTGCTGAAGGGTGAAATTGATGGTCCTGATATTCTTGGCCAGTTGCCATTCGCGATAAATAGAATTAATTCTCGGAATTCAAACAGTTTCTATTTAGCGTTTCCCAGAACCAATCTGTACAAGAACTCACCTATATTTAGAATGTGTTCAGTTTTTAATCGGTATGCTTCAGGTATTGATATAGACATGATAAATATTGAAAAGTTTAAAAAACTAATTGATAGTAAACTGCGGGATGAGATTTAGGACGTTTGTGTTTTGTACAGATTTGATTATAACCAACCATTTTAATTATGTATTGTTTAGTTTTAGTAAAAATGTTTTAGTGTTTAATACATGTCTTTATTTCTTTTAAGTGTATTGTTAAGCTTTATGTTACTGTTAGTCTTAAGTGGATGTCTGTAATTGGCCCCTGGCTGTTGATGTCTGATTGATGAATAAATAAATAAATAAAATAAATAGATATAGAAATAGAGAAAAAAATTGTCATCATGTGTCAAAGTCGACAGGTGCACTTATTGTTGCTTGACAATTATAATTACTTTTCGGCACTCAGTGCGGATAAGGCCTGTATCCGCACTGAGTGCGGAAAAGTGTAACTTTGAGCCCGGAAATGCGTGCGGAAAAGTACTACTTTGCGCACGCTCGTAGGAAATTTTTTTTACCGCACTGATAGGTCAAAAAAAAAAAAAGAAAAATTTTACATTTTTACGCCTGTAGGAAAAATATTGTACCTAACACTTGCGGAATAGTTATTTTCCTAACAAGTGCGCAAAGTGATACTTTCCCGCACGAAAAAGCAGTTAGACGAACGACGCGAAGCGGAGTTCGGATAAGCTTTGAGTGCGGGAAAGACACTTTGCGCAAGTGTTAGGAACAATATTTTTTCTACGAGTATCTTAAAAAAGTAGACTTTGAATTGTTAAAATATTAGAAAAATCAATCAAATCAAAATCTTCAAAAATCGTTTTAAATCTATTGGAATTCCTCAAAATGTCTTTTAAATGAAATCCCCAAAAATCTTTTTAACATCTTCTGGAATTTCTAGAATACCAGCTAGAATATTTTCATGAGAGTCTCTCAAATATCAAAAATTCTACAAATTCCTAGCAGTACAGGCTGGTCCAATTTGGACACCTTTGATAGGAAACATCATGTTAGCTAAGCGCTAATTTCAACTAGAAGCCTTCATTTTGAATATTAGTTTATTCAGAAACCATCAAAAACATTGAAAAATCAAGTATAACTATGGTAATTATGCATAACAAAAATGAGTGCGCAAAGAGTTTCCGTGCGCAAAGTTCAACTTTGCGCACGCAAATGAGTGTGCAAAGTGATTACTTTGCGCACGCAAGTAGAAAATAGTTATTTTCCTAACAAGTGCGCAAAGTGTTACTTTTCCGCACGCAAACACAGTTATACGAACGACGCGAAGCGGAGTTCGGATACGTGTTTGCGTGCGGAAAAGACACTTTGCGCACGTGTTAGGAACAAAATTTTTCCTACGAGCTTCATATCAGGTAGGTAACAACAAAAATTTAAAAAAAAAAACGATAATTTGTTTAATTATTTTTAATTAACTTGAAGGGAACCTATGCATTTATCAAAAAATTACATAACAAAAAAAAAATATAACAGAAAATCATCGTCAGAGCTCTTCATCTTAAAGCGTTTAATGGCGATTTCCATTTGTCATCAGTGCCGCACTGAGTGCATCCGCATCTTTTTCTAAAAGCATGTAACATGTAAGGATAAGGATACATTTTTTTGCCCTGTTTCGACAAATGGAAAATGCTATAAATTTGATGAGAAAGTTTGTAGATGCATATAT